TAACACTGTTTTAGGAGCATTCTGTTTTTGTTCTGCAGTTGAAGTTTATAATGCCAACAACATAGGTTTTACATTTTATGAGATATGGGGGTTAAATGTCTGAGCAGACTTAAAATGTAATGAGTGCTGGTTTATTTTTACTTTTAGTTAAATTATTTGTTCTACCATGAAATAATTAGAGCACAGTTAATGATGCCGTCCATCTGCCAAAGTGACTGCACAAGCTCTGACATTTCTTAAGAAAAATGAAAGTCCTGAGACCAGGCACTAGCATAGACCCAGCAATTACAAAGAATGGTGCCAGACAGGCTGAATTCTGCATCTAAGGGCAATATTAAAAGCGATTAACCATCCTTTCCTTCATCTGCCTGTAACAGAGAGCAAAGCTAGGGCATTTTGAGTCCTCTTTCAATCAGCTGAACAGTGGCAGGCATTCATCTTACAATTCACATGTCACAGTAATGATCTGGCAATACAGCAGGAAAAGTCATAGCTCAGTGCCTGTATGCTCCAGGTTAATTTTAATTAGCTATCCCAGATTTCTGGGTCAATAGTTAGACTGACTGACTGCAGAACATTTTTAAAATCTTTCCCTTCCTTCATATTTTCAATATCTGATACAACTCAGTTTGGATCAGAAAGGCATCATCTGTATGCTCTGGTTAATTTCTTGAAAGGTTAGCAAAGGAGAGGCAGTGAACTCAAATAGGATTTTTAAAAGGTTTTTGTGTGTGTGTGGCTTAAAAATAAGAATGGATTTTGAGTTAGAATGTTAATTAGGACAGAGAATTTCTCATTTTCTCCCTGTCCCTTCATCCCACTTAAGCAATATGTACATTAAGTTCCTCATTTCACGGCTTATTGATGATGATCACTACTATGCTTAACATGTCTTCACATTTAGTTTTCACTGAAATACTTCATAGTTTTTTATAGAAAATGAGGCATTTGCAGCTGCCAAAAATGACTCGTAGACAGAAGACTAAATACTTGTGAGAAAAATAGGATATCATGAAATTGTTTTTCTCTTTTGTCAAGTTAGAGGTGTGTGTGTTTAGTAAAATATGTTCTACACAGTAGGCTATACTCTAGTGCATGTTTTTGTGAGTTTGTATACATTAACAACTATAGTTGAATATGTGTTGTGAGTATATGAATAGAGCACGACTGGCCTTTGTTGAAGGCTACTGAGAGAGCATGTGTGAAAATGTGTTCTTCCCTAAGAATGTTAAAGTTTTTGTGAAATGCACTTCGATAAAGTGAAAACTATAAATGCCCTTTGTATAGCTTAAGATGGTACCTGAAAAACCGCCTCCTGGGACATATACTTACCTGGACCTTGAAATCTTCAGATACAGGAGAGACCATTTTAGGCACATCCGATATGTGTGTCACCACACATGCACACATCACACCAAACCTGGAAGTGACTAAAAAATGTCACAAAATGGGGCAGAATGGGGTGGGGGCAGAAAGGGGTGTTTGCAGACTTTTGCAATGGGTGTTCCGATTATAGACAATTTCACATAAGCACTTGGTGCCTCAGAACGTTATTCCCACGCAAATCAGTTGCTGCCTGTATACCCATCAAGTGAGGTGTGCCAGGTGCCTCCTGTTTAAAAGACATTTTCACAGGGCATTATTTTCCTAGGCCTCTTACATTTATTTTTACCTTTATTAGCTTATTACCAGTTTTTAGGACCTTAGGATGTTGCCTTGTTTTCTTTCATTCCTCTTGTTGCTGCATTTTTAACTTGTTTTATGTTGTGAACTGCCCTGAGAACTTTTTGTTACAGGCGATCTATAGAAATGCTGTAAATTATGTTAATACAGTCTACTTGGTGCAGGAAATTGTGTGCGTTGATGCACACACAGCTCCAGCATATGCAACAACTTCAGTGCAATGTCAGAATCGGCTGTAGTAAGATTGGTGGTATCTGTGACTTTGAATATCTTCAAGGTAAAAATAAGCTCAACATGACCTGCTAAATTTGCTACTTCGGCTTCCATATTTTATTAGTACCTTGTTGAAGGACCAATTGCATTCCAAGTCCATATCAATCTTTTGCATTAAGTGGGATTGTTGTTGTTTAGTCGTTTAGTCGTGTCCGACTCTTCGTGACCCCATGGACCAGAGCACGCCAGGCACCCCTGTCTTCCACTGCCTCCCGCAGCTTGGTCAGACTCATGTTTGTCGCTTCAAGAACACTGTCCAACCATCTCGTCCTCTGTCGTCCCCTTCTCCTTGTGCCCTCCATCTTTCCCAACATCAGGGTCTTTTCCAGGGAGTCTTCTCTTCTCATGAGGTGGCCAAAGTATTGGAGCCTCAGCTTCATGATCTGTCCTTCCAGTGAGCACCCAGGGCTAATTTCCTTAAGAATGGATGCATTTGATCTTCTTGCAGTCCATGGGACTCTCAAGAGTCTCCTCCAGCACCATAATTAAAAGCATCAGTTCTTCGGCGATCAGCCTTCTTTATGGTCCAGCTCTCACTTCCATACATTACTACTGGGAAAACCATGGCTTTAACTATACAGACCTTTGTTGGCAAGGTGATGTCTCTGCTTTTTAATATGCTGTCTAGGTTTGCCATCGCCTTTCTCCCAAGGAGCAGGCGTCTTTTAATTTCGTGACTGCTATCACCATCTGCAGTGATCATGGAGCCCAATAAAGTAAAATCTCTCACTGCCTCCAATTCTTCCCCTTCTATTTGCCAGGAGGTGATGGGACCAGTGGCCATGATCTTCGTTTTTTTGATGTTGAGCTTCAGACCATATTTTGCGCTCTCCTCTTTCACCCTCATTAAAAGGTTCTTTAATTCCTCCTCACTTTCTGCCATCAAGGTTGTGTCATCTGCATATCTGAGGTTGTTGATATTTCTTCCGGCGATCTTAATTCCGGCTTGGGATTCATCCAGCCCAGCCTTTCGCATGATGAATTCTGCATATAAGTTAAATAAGCAGGGAGACAATATACAGCCTTGCCGTACTCCTTTCCCAATTTTGAAAGTGGGATTAGAGGGCAAGAAAAAGGGATTGCACCAGGGCAGAAAATAATTACAGTGTATGCTTTGTTTTGCATCCTTAGTACTAATAGTCCCACTATTCCTTTGCCGATTTAAATGTATTTTCTGCCACCTTGCCAGCAGTTAGATGCTTGTTTACAATTTAAACTTCAGTTAAAGATACATAGAGAACTCTGAACAATTCATAATCTGACATGTATCTCTTTCATGGTACATTCTTGTAGGTTGTAGACACTTGTTAATACACGACAGATAAAGTTGATCATTCTGCAAAGCCTCATAATTATTTTTAATATGAAGTTCTTTGTGGTTTCCTGATAAACACAGCACTGTTTTCCATTTTGCTTACTTGGTTGCAGACTGCATACAAACATAACTTTTAGTAACATTTCATATATATGTATATGTGTGTGTGTGTGTGTGTGTGTATATATATATATATATATATATATATATATATATATGTATGAAATGTTAGTAAATATATGTATAAATCTCTTTTAAAGCTTAAGATACTGGCCGTGACCGCATGCTGTAGCAAAGAATTTCATGTATTTGTTCACTGAGTGAAGAATAAGGGTTGTATTTAATACTGCTGTTCTGCTTGCTCACCAGACTTCTTTCTACTTGCACAAGGGAACGTCTCCCCTGCAGCCCTCCACACACCCTCAGAATCTGCTCCAGGGGTTAGTGGACCCTCGAACAGATTTGGGGCGGAGTGGGGTGGGTAGGGACAGGAGATGAAGGGAAGTCCTGTGGCATGGAACTTGAATCTAACACCAATCAATGTCATTGTGAGACCTTGAATTCTAGTAGAGAGGAATTAAAAACATCTTACCCACTTTCTCAATGCTGGGTATAATGAATTTCCTTCTAATTTTTTTATTTTATTTTCCCAGAAATGCATTCTGATATGGCTATGTGGGCTTGAATCCAAAGATCCTGCTGCAAGAACAGAAGGCATTTCCATTTGTTGATGTAGCTTCTGGTGTGGGAGATTGAATTGCGTCACTTGAGGACCATAGGACACACCAGTTGGCTGTTTTTGCAGATTAGTGAAGGTCTTTGGTGCTGCATATTGAGACATAGGCTTTTTAGGCCAGTTTCAAAAATAAAAGTAACCAAGATTAGGTGTCAGAAGTAATTTACTGGGTTCTACATAGCTGTCGCATTATGGAATGCAGGACGTTGTTTAAAGTAAGTTCTGTTAAAACAAGTATAATTTAAAGAAGAGTGTGCCGTAGCTGAAAAGAAGTGGCAGTAATACAGTACCATTTACATCTCTCTCTTTTTTTACATGACTGAAACTCTATTCAGATGTCTCAGGTGCAGTAGTTTGCTGCCAACATGTTAACAAAAGGCTTCAGTAAACCTGACCTCTTCAACTTATGCTAAGATGCACATCTTTGTAATATATTTTCAAAGAGGACTTGGCACTGCTTTATTTCTTAGACAAGGAAAGTAAAGTTATACTTTTTAAAAAAAAGATGTACGCTTGATCTCACGAGTCTCACAGAGCTGATACTTATGGGGGGGTTTTTTGGTGGTGTTGGTTGGGTTTCCTTGCTTGTTTTTTTGCTCTGGTCAGTGTTGTACATAGCGCCCGGGTCCAGGTTCAATGTTTAAAGCATCAGAACTATCTTTAATGCATCCCCCCCCCTTTGTAACTAATTTTCCTAACTGGAGTAAAACTGGAAGTTGGGGGGGGTATAATGGGCATCAGAGAAACAGCAGCAGAGAGGGGATGTCAGACTTTAACCAAGCTCTGAAACATGCTACTGATGAGAGTTTGGTTCTGGTGTGGACAAACTGCTCCATAGGTGCAAGTCATACTGGGAAGGGTTGCTGAGACCATTAGGCTGAGTTGTATTTCGTTTTCTTGAATAAAGAGTTAACTTCACTGACATCAGAGATTTGCTTCCTTTCTTGCTAACCTGCATCAGACTCCAGCTCTGACAATAAGGTCAGCATTTCCTCCATTGAGATGGATAAGATGCGTAACTTAGCATCCTAGGTGACTTGTTTGCCAACAATAATACCAGTCTCCATTACAACCCGCTTTGAGAACTTGTGTACATAAGTTACTCCCTGATCACAAACACTAATATGTTCCTTGTACCTTACAACCCCGCCAGCATAAGGCAGAGCCAAATCTTACTGTATGAGCTAGTGGACCATGGTTAAAAACCAGCGGTGTGCCACCTTCAAAGAATTTCTCTTAAAGCTAGCAGACACTGACCTGAAGGGGCAAGTGGATCAGCTTTTAAGCCACTGAGAGTCCAGTCAAAGGCGACTATGGGTTTGCAGCGCTCTTCTCATTTTCAAGCCAAGGGAGCCGGTGTTTGTCCACAGACAGCTTTCTGGGTCATGTGGCCAGCATGACCAAACCGCTTCTGGTGCAACGGAACACTGTGACGGAAACCAGAGCGCACAGAAACGCTGTTTACCTTCCTGCCATAGTAGTGCCTATTTATCTACTTGCACTGGCATGCTTTCGAATTGCTAGTTTGGCAGGAGCTAGGACAGAGCAACAGGAGCTCACTCCGTTGTGGGGATTCGAACTGCCAACCTTCTGATCTGCAAGCCCAAGAGACTCAGTGGTTTAGACCACAGCACCACCCGGTAGCAACTATATCACAGTGACCCTGCCTTTCTGGGTACTTGCTACAGCTAGCTATTGATAAGGTTTTAGGACTCTAGTTGCTATGCCATGCACCACGGGATCTTTCAAGATTATGTTAATCTGGGGGCTATGTAGTCAGTCTATGTCTATGCCTGAATCTGTCAAGAGTTGTGATTCTGTAAGCGGCATGTTGTTTTCATAAGAGTCATGCAGGCAATGGAGTCCTGCTTTAGAAATATCTACTATTGTTTATTTATCTTGAGCCTGGAATTATATAAGGAAGTAGGATTAAAAGTGAGGGTGTCCCACACCTCTGAAGTCCAACATGTGAAAAGGTTGAATAAAACCTTTCCATATTGTCCTAATCTGGGGCAAGAAGTTACAGAATGACCCAATTCAATAGTACAGTGTCCTACTTGAGTGAGTTTAGGATCCGAGGTTAGGTCTTGGATAGAAAGCATGTACAACTCATTTTATTGTTCAGTCCAAGTGGTTTTGTTGGATTGCAGATTTGTGCTGGAATTAAATGCTCCATGCTTTACTATTTTATTTTTGCTTTTCCCCATTCTGTATTAGCAACAGTTATAGCATTGGGTATCTTCCTAAATAAAGATTATTGCTCAGCTGTAGCTTACATTAATCTTTATCCTATTTTTTTTATTTGTATTTGAACCAAACGCAGCAAGAGTGAAGGAGGAAAGTGTGTGTTTGCTGGAGGAGGAAGTAATTCTTTAAATATATATACTGTCTCGGGACATTCATATAGTCATCTGTAGTTTACACTGCACAGGAATTTGGCTCTAGTCCATATGTTGAAAGACCTTGCAGATTTGAACAGTAGAGATCTGTTGTTTTTTAAGCAGCAAGTGTGAAACAGGAAATGGCCTATATTAACTGGTTTACCATGAAGAAAGATGCTGGTTAGTTGTTATTTTCTGTGATAGCTGAAGAGATGCCAGTTATTATGAAGCTAGCTGCTTCGTTTTAGTAGATCCTCACATTTGTAGATGCAATTATAATAAATCTGGAGTCTTGCCAGTCATACCTCTCAACTGTTTTTCATTACGGCAAATATCACACAGGGGGGAAAACACACACGCTTGCTTTCCTAGTGTTAGGATACATGCAAGATTGAAAAAGATAAGGTTGGACGTCGCAAGGTTATTGAAGGAAGGAGTAGCTTTAAAATAATGAAAACAAGCATGAAGTTCCACACATGGAAGAAGAGTTGATGGGTATGCTGCCTCAAATAATGAGGGGAGCCGAAACAAAAGAATGCTCAGGTGGTGATGAATTAAGTGAAGAAAGACACAATTTTGAATGTAGGCTTTCTGCCAATGTATACGGAACTTTACTTTGACTTTCACAGAGGTCTGAAAAGTTAGTTCGCTGCATTTCATCAGTCCTTCTTAGATAAAGTTCTTCAGATAGTACTGTTTTGTTAGGCAATGCAGTTGTATGTAGTGCATACACTAAAATCATAACATGTCCAGAGAGAAGGGGAAAGAGAGAGGTATGCTGTGCATATATGTCAGGGAGCTACCAGTAGATCAGAGATTTCTTCCACCTGTCCAGCAATATGTAAATTAACAACACAATTCTATACATGCCTACTCAGAAGCGAGTCTAATTGAGTTCAATGGGACTTGCTTCCTGATGAGTAGGGTGTAGGATTGCAGATGCAAATGGACAATCTGTTATCTTTCTCAAAGTTTAAGGATATTTTCTGTTCAGAACATAGTAGTCAGGCCTGTAATCCTCCCTAGCCAGCTGCTGGATCGCTGACCAGATCCATGGCCAAGCCTCAATGCTGGCTGGCCATTTAAGGTAAGCTGACCTACTGAAGCAGCTGCAATTCTTGCGTAATTTGTTTGTACATTAAGGTTACCAGACATCCCCGTTTCCCGGGGACAGTCCCTGGATTTACAAATCAGTCCCCTGACAAAATCCATCTATTTAGTAGGAAGTTGAAAAATGTCCCTGGATTCATTGGAAAAAAATCTGGTAACCTTATTGTACATGCACATTCTGATATGAACCTATGATTCCTGCTGATGCACATTGGAGCAGGAAATCCTAATTTCATATATATGGAGCAGTGGCTAGCTCACTGAAGATGTTGAGCCAGTGTGCAGCTGCTGTTGTATGCTAGGAAACTTGGGAAAGAGATTAAGAACAAAACTGCCAATACTATAATGCCATTATGCATATCTGCGGTTAGATCACACATGGAGTACAGAGTACTGTTCTGGCCTCCTCATCTCGAAAAGGATATTATAGAGCTGGGAAACATTCAGAAAAGGGAAACCACAGTTATCATGGGATGGGAACAACTTATCAGTAGAGGTTGCAACATTTGAAGCTTTTTAGTTTTAGGGGGGGAAAGGCGAGTGAGGAGGGAGCAAGAGACAGGTGTATAAAGTTATTTGTGGTGCGGAGAAAGAAGATAGAAATAAGTTTTTCTCCCTTTCAGGGAGGAATTATAGGAACTGGTCAATGAAGCTAAAATGTGGACAGACAGCACATAGCCAAACTGCAGAATTCGTTTTCACAAGATTGCATATGTAAAAACCATTTCAAAGCCAATATTCAGAATGGGAGAAAATCCTCTCCTTAAAAGACTTCTTGAAAAAAGATCTTCAGTAGTCTCTGAAAAAAGCAATTGAAATGGCACCTGCCATTATGTTACACTTTTGATCATGGTTAATGACTGTTGATTTTATCATCCTTTGCATAGTGTGAAGGCAAGCTTTTGTGACAATTGAGAATAGTTACAAAACTCTTTTGTGTGGCACTTTTTTTGTTCTTGTGTCTCTGGCACCTCCAGGCTTCATTGTCATCTTCTTTTTTTAAAAAAGTACTAGATAGCAGGTAGTGTGAACTGGTGGTTGTTGTTTTTTAAATAAATAAATAAATAAATAAATAAATAAATAAATAAATAAATAAGGATCTATGGGGGTTTGTTTGGGAAATAACAGAAAACAGTTCCCCTTAAATATTGGCAGTGTTTTTCCATTCACACATAAGGACATAGGGAGATACCTTATATCAGTTCAGTTGTTTCCTCATCTAGCCCAATATTATCCACCCTGATTGGCACAGGCTTCTAGGGCCTCATGGGCAATTCCCCCTCCCACCTGCTTCCTGAAAAATGGCCAGAGATGCCAGGGGTTTAGATCTGCTGACATGCTATACCTTTAAAGCACATTCTAAGCATATTCTGGGCTCTGTTAGTTTACCCCTCACAGAGTTACAATTCCCAGCAACCCTTAGAAAACGACAGTGCCCCTTTGAGGGATAAATGTGCTTCAGATGTTTGGTGTGTATAAAGATAAAGGGACCCCTGACCATTAGGTCCAGTCGTGACCGACTCTGGGGTTGCAGCGCTCATCTCGCTTTATTGGCCAAGGGAGCCGGCGTACAGCTTCCGGGTCATGTGGCCAGCATGACTAAGCCGCTTCTGGCCAACCAGAGCAGCGCACGGAAACGCCGTTTACCTTCCTGCCAGAGCGGTACCTATTTATCTACTTGCACTTTGACATGCTTTTGAACTGCTAAGTTGGCAGGAGCAGGGACCAAGCAACGGGAGCTCACCCCGTCGCGGGGATTTGAACCACCGACCTTCTGATTGGCAAGTCCTAGGCTCTGTGGTTTAACCCACAGCGCCACCCGCGTCCCCATAGCCTTAAACCTGTACAAGGCCAGTGCTCCCCCACTGAGGCACAGTCCCTCTGATCACTTGCATGTTTTTCTTAATGCAAAGATGTTTGAGTGGATGGTCTTAGAAACATCAATTATATTCCACCTAATTGTGCTTCATAACAATAGCAGAAGCCAATGTTCTCTAATAAATGTGTGGTTCATTTGTGTACTTGGGGCAGTCTGGATAAACACACTTTTAAATATATATCCCTATTAAATACACACTTTTCCCTGCAACTAAATTCTGTTGACTGCACCTTTAATCTGATATGAAGAAAAGCTAGAAGGGACAGTTTTTAAAGTGTATTTGTACAAATTGTTTTACCAGTTCAGGTGCATAGATGGGAGAGCATAGCTCACATGGTAGAGCATGACGCACTTAATTTTAGGGTTGTGGGTTGGGCAAAAAAATTCTGCATTTCAGGGGGTTGGACTAGATGGCCCTTGTGGTCTCTTTTAACTCTACAACTATGATTCTATGGTTTTACTACAAATACAGGTGCACATGTTGCAGTTATGTAATTGATCCATTAGAGGGCAGTATAAGACAGCTTGTTGGAGTGAGAAATTTCAGACTTGCTCAGGAAGGCAGCAATACCTGTCCCATGAAATTATACCATCCTAAACTTGCAAGTAAACACAGCAGAACTTTCACTTAAGTTTTAGAAATATATGCAGCAGGAAGCAGACTTTTAGTTCAATAGGATTTATTTCAATAGAATCTGACTATGGTGTAATCAGAAGATTGCAATTACCGTATTTTCTGTTTATAAGACGCCCCCATGTATAAGACGACCCCTAATTTTTTAAACCCAAAATTAAGAAAATGCACTATGCACTATCCGTGTGTAAGATGACCCCTTATTTTAAACTTCAAAAAATTAGGAAAAAATAGTCTTATACACAGAAGAATATGGTATTTGAGCTTGAAATAGTTAAAACAGTGCCTCATTGTATGAAATGAATAAGAATAGGTCTAGTCTAGCCACATTTAGTACTATATTCCTGATTATGCAGTTGATGCACGAGTATTAAAAACTTCTATTGGTATGCCCTGAAACAAGTTCAGAGTCTCTTGGTAGTAGAATGTCTTTTTACAACTGAATCTTTGATACAACTAATACCTTTGCATCAAAATGGCAATCCATGTTCAAAAGATAGTGGTCATTTAACCAGATTGTGAGTAGTTTGCGCTATAGAGAGTGATAGCCCTAAGACCTCTTAAAACAGGGATAGAGCACCTTGTGGCTTTCTAGATGTTGTTGGAATTCAATTCCAAATAGCCCCAGCTTGCATGGCCAACAGTCAGCAATGATGAGAGGGTTACAGGTTCCCCATTTCTGTCTTAAATCTATTACAAACTACAGACTGGGCTTTCCTTATCATGCCTTGTAATGCTGCTTCTCTCCTTCTTCCGCACTCACCACACGCATGAAAAATTTCTTTCTGGAGAAGTATTTTCTTGAAAGTTGCCTGGTTCTTTGTGATTTTCAGTTGGCCTTAGTAAGCAACTGTTGCTGCTTTGGAGTATTTTTGCTAGAGAACCACCATGCATATTGACAATTTTTAATCTGCAAATCATCTCCGAGGAATCCTTGCAATTTGGACAAGTACTTCTTACAATTTTCAATTTTGTTTAGCTCTCCATTTGTATTCAAGATTGGCCAACAACCAAGTTAATGTCTTGTACATTATAGTAATTGTGAAGTGTAGGATTGAATAGTTCAGTGCAAGGGCTAAATAAGAAACAGCTGGCTACTGATAACAGTAAATTGAAGTGTTGGATGAATGCAATCAGAGCCAGTTACAGAGCAGGAGGCAGATGCACCGCTGTTGCACCACGAGAAAACTTGGCCCCATCGAAACAATTTTTGACACTGGTGGGAAGAGGAAAAATCATGTTAAAGAAATGCAACATTTGGAGGGAAAAATAGCAGCCATGCCCATGGAATTCAGGAACACCCACCCACCACATAGCCTGCCCAGAAACAGAGATAGTCAACGAGCCCTTTCCAAAAATGAGCTGTCTTGCTTCAAAGGCACGACATATAGACAGGTGCTTACCCATGGAACAGATAAATGACCCCAGGTGGAGCCAGCAACCCAGGCAACTCCCTTGTGATGCATCCACAATGGACTTAGAATGTTGATGGTTTGAAACCTCCATGGATCCCTTCATTCCCAACTATAAGAGCTCCATAGCTGCCCCTCACTCCGGCATACCTACATATGGAACCACACAATTGTATACAATTTCGCATTGAGACTAGAGTGCAAGGCTCTCTTGAGGTTGACCAAACACTGGTTAGTGCACCTAATTGTGCCTACCCTATAGCAGTGCAGGTGGCGAAGAAGGCACATTTCGCAGCTTGCATTCCATCCTCAGGTAGCTTGGCCAGTGGACCTCTTTTGTATAACCTACAGTGCTGACTCCCATTGTGGGGGGGAAACCCCTGCAGCCATCAAGTACCCACTGTGACTAACTTCATTTTGAGAATGAAGTTGCTCTGCTTTGGAGAGAGACCTTGACTCCACCATTGCAGTTCCAGTTGGAAGTTTTTCAGTGCCACACCCTGTGATGTACTTTTTGTTCATGGGCAACTTGATGGTGTGGCCAAAGTACTTGCAGCTCTGTACCTGAGCTCATGCTCCCTTGCATCCTCATCACTCTTAGTTTATTACATGTAGCATAAGAGATCTGATTGGTTTGGTCTGGAGCATGGTTTGGTTCATTGCATGAATGTATCATCTTGAAACAGGTGGCGAAACAGCTATCCTTGGCCCCATTGGCTTGGATTAATTATCAGTTGCAAATACCTCTCTTTCTAGAGAAGTGGTGGAGAGGGTTGTGGCAGGTCATGTAGGCATTCTTGGATGATACAGATTATCTAGAGCCTTTGGCCCTTTAGTTGTTGCCACTGTCCATGGTTGATGGGGCTGATGAAAGCTAATAGATTTAGGGGGTGAGAAGTTCTGCAGCCCCCAAGGGTTTGCGCTAGCAAAACTGTTTAGTTAGACACCTCCCTCCCTTAGACATTAAACTGTTACAAGGCTCTTTGTATACGACTTACACAGCTATCCCTTTGTAAGTGATTATGTTCAGTATCATTATCTGTAACATAATGAATTTGCAGGAAGGAAATTATTAGATTTTTTTCCATTTCTTGATGGTCTTCTGTATAGTTGTTTAAATTATTAATTAAAAGTCACAAACCCGTGAAGAGATTTCTCTTCAGTCAAGATTTGGCATAGTTCAGAGTGTGTGCTATTAGGAGACTTGTGCTTTCTTAATTAACATATTCCTATTACATGAAATGTGCTTCACAAGTGGTATAGATTGATTTTAGGACACATCTAATCAACCTGCTTGAGCAATAACAAGCTTGCCAAAAAGGGTCATTCATCTGGCAAAAAGAGCATTAAATCTGGAAACTATTTAAGAGATTGCAAGTGTAATGACCTTTTAAGACATGTTACTTGAATATATACAATAATATGCAAACATAGTAGTAAACTCTTATACACATAGCTCAGCAATTAATAATGTTTTGAGCTCTTATAATATTTTTGCTTTTCTGTACCACCTATGGTTTAGTCCTATCTACAACATAATCATGAAAGTTTTTAATAACCTCTGTGATGTTTAGTCATACAAATAGTCCCAAAGGTGTTAACAAAAATGGGAGTATACCACCAGAAATTGCCGCATGCCTGAATTTATTTGTCCTTCAAAATTAAAATCGGGGAACTGAACCCAGATAATTTTAAGGGCATTACTATTGGATGCAAATGTATATACTAGAGGTATAATAGAGGTTTACTAGAGGTCTGAACTATATGGAATTTTACAAACTAAGTTTCCCCTGCTAAAAATAAAATGATAAATGTAAATGCTTCTTGAGCAAATCTATCTCATCTACAACTTGTTAACTAAATGTGTAGAATCTTTGACAATCTGGTAAATCAACCATTTCATTACTAATATCTAGCCCCTCTCATATACATTGAAATTCTGTCCTCTTTTTCTCTCCCCTTCTGCAACTTCCATTTGTAGTTCTGGTGAATTTTTCTTCTCTCTATTTTGTCTATCTGAGGCCAGTTTGGATATGCTATGGATTTGTTTGCATAGGGAGAAGACAGAAATAAAGAGCAGTCAGAATGCTTTTTCAGCCATGCAATAAACCCATCTTCTCCGCTGAAAGGACATACAGTTATTTTAGCACACTAAATGCTTGTCGTTTTTGCTTCATTCTGTTCTTGCCTCCTAGACTTTGTTTGTCATTTCCTGCTCCAGGTGCAGGAAGCTCCCAACATAATGTGCTGCTGTGCACATTGTTAACTTTACCAGAAGGATCAGGAGAAACAGAAGAGGAAGTAGAGGGGTTGGGAAGAGGGAGATGGCAGCAGATGGGCAAGACTGATGGGCTTCAACAACACATGATGCTCTGGAGTGCATTTCTGTTCATGTGTAATTATAAAGAAGAGCTCACACACTTTGAACACTTGTATATTTTCCCTGTATTCTTCCTTGCCAGTAACGGGCTTCTTTTTTAGAAACCATAGAATCGCTTATACATGATGAAGTGTAGGTGGGTTCCCACGAGGCAAGACGCAGTGATAACAGCAAGAACCTTTATTGAACTAACAGAACTGGACAACAGGGGCAAAGCAACTGCTTATATACATTTCTGAAGGCCTGGGTCACTCCCACTCCCAACGTGATTGGCTGTCTAAACTTCCAAGCTGACTCATGACTCAGAATTTAAGGGCCAATGGCAGAGGCCCAAATCCTGAAATGTTCTGTGATTGGATATCATGTACCAAATCAGAACACGGGGGCTCAGAATCCTTAGTCCAGACTCAAGCTCAGGCAAACACAGATCACTGAATACATAACACATGACATCCAGTGATCCAGGCACTCACTAGGTCTACAGTTGCTTTGCTACAGTGGTGAATACACCATAGTGCCATAGGCTGACTCCCTCTCTAAGGAAACACTGAATATTTTGAAAAACTGGTTGTACAGAAAGCATAATTTTTGAGTTATTGTCAACTAAGTTCTACTCAAAGTACACCCATTGAAATTAATGGACTTAAGTTAGCCATGCCCATTAATTCCAAGGGGTCAACACTGAGCAAAGCTAACATTGGATATAACCCATTGTATCCTGGGTAGTGATCCTATGCTTCATAAGTGTTAGATGTTTGTAAAAAAAAAAAAAAGGTGTTATCTGAGATCTCTAGTCTAACATCTCACTGTGTTGTGAGGATAGAATGAGGGCCCCATGCATTTTTTCAAAGGAAGGGCACTATACAAATGCAAGAGAACAATGACTTTTTCATCTTTCTCTATTTTAAAGGACACTTTGCACATACATTTATCTGTCATGGAGCTCTTAAACATGCAGAGTATTCTTGATAAAATCTAGTTTACATGTGACGCTGGCTAGGTCTGTTGGCTTCCTCATTTTTCATGTGTAAACTGTATTTTAGAAAAAAAGGCCACACACTCCTGCAGCTGTGTGTTACATGGAAGAATGTCTTCAGTAAAGGTTGTCTGCCGTTACTGACCAACTCATTGGTCCTGCTAAGCTTCTGAAGAACTCCATTTCTTCCCAGAACTTAAGTTGAAAACGACTGTGGTATTGTTGTTGTTTAGTCGTTTAGTCGTGTCCGACTCTTCGTGACCCCCATGGACCAGAGCACGCCAGGCACTTCTGTCTTCCACTGCCTCCCACAGTTTGGTCAAACTCATGCTGGTAGCTTCGAGAACACTCTCCAACCCTCTCGTCCTCTGTCGCCCCCTTCTCCTTGTGCCCTCCATCTTTCCCAACATCAGGGTGTTTTCCAGGGAGTCTTCTCTTCTCATGAAGTATTGGAGCCTCAGCTTCACGATCTGTCTTTCCAGTGAGCACTCAGGGCTGATTTCCTTAAGAATGGACTGTGGTATATAAATGCCTATACTGCTGTTATCTACGACAGTATGCTTCACTATTACTGTGTTTTTTATGCGGTGAGTATTTTTAATGCAACATTTGGTGTGTGTGTATGTGTTTGGAAGAGGAATAAGGCTTGTGTTGTTTTCTAATTAGGCTGACAGTGCTTTGAAGTAGAGTTTGAATTAATACTGGCATATACAAATGAGATGGTGGCTTAGAAAATATATTTATAAAAGATTCATGCGAAGATGTTGTTTAGCAAGTCATTATGCGGAGAAAAATTAACTTAATTTGATGTTGTGCACTTAAGTTCTGTGCTGTAAATTTTGTTTGTTTGTGGAAAATGACATTTCCCCCCTCCTAAGGGGGATTCTTAACCAGTCAGTTATAGAGAGCGCTGCATTGTTGGTGGCGTCATTTTTCAGTTTAAATGTAAAATGAAGATCCTGACCCTATGTGCTAATTAAAAGCCCATAGCAATTTTCATGGGATGAGAGGGTTTTATTCCCAGGGTCCTGGCCAAATTCCAGTGTGGGTAATTATACTTTGCCTAGTTACATTCCTCAGGTGCTAAAAGCTATTTTCTTTGCTTTTTGACCTAATCTGCTGCTGTGTTTGCTGTGAAACAGCTGTGACATTTCACTGAGAATGGACTACCTTTCCAGGGTCTGAATAATAGGAAATGGGGATGGATGGTTATGAAAGGAACTCTATGCATAGCATGCTGGAAGGCTAATGTTATAAAGTGATTGGATCCATCACGCCTATTGTCTGGAAATTATATTTAGCCTGACAGTTTTTGTATTTAGACATATTTTTGGGAAACTGTAGTTTGTACATAATTCTTACATTTAATGTTATTGACTGCGCTTTTCAGTCTTTAGTTCTTTAAAAATAGAAACGTGTAAAACTTTCTTGGATGCTACCTGACTATATGCATAATAATGTTTTCCTTTACCAGCTGTAATGCTTGTTGCTCAGTTTTGGGGAAATGCTTGGTGAAATACTTTTTATCTCCCATTTTTTATAGGGGTGCAGCTTTCTACTACATTGAGATTTCAGTGATACTTTTCTCAAGAGTTAATTCCTAAG